GCATCCAAAAGATTATCCAAAAACAAGAGTTTCATAATTTTTTCAAGTTACTTCAATATTAGCATGTCCATAACTTCAATATTGCACTAACTTCAGTTTTTCATAAGTTTCACAATAAAGTGTAATATTCAGAACATTCACAACTTGCACTAACTTCAATGTTGATAGATTCCTACGCATTCTCATCATCATTATTAGCATGTCCATCAGAAATAGTTAAAAGTTGATCATCGGATTCAATATCAATAATTTCAAGCAGTTCCCTGTTTCTAGTTTCTTTCATGGGCCAAAAAATAAAATGGACTTTTTGAAACTTTATAAAAAAAGGTTAAATTGAATCAAAGAGTGTAAATCCAACGGTTTTACACGATTTTAGAGAGATTTAAATCGTTTAAAATCGTCCCAGAATATAATTTTACATAAAAAAGTTTTTATCTGTGATTTAACATGAAATGTTGACCTAGAAACATGAAATCTATAAAGTTTAAGGTTTAAATCATGATTTTAACAACCTTGGTTGTCGTAGTGTTTGGTAGGCATGTGTTGGTTGGGTGCTTTGGCGGTGTGATGTTTGGATGCTTTGATGGTGTGATTTTTGGGTGTATGTTGGTTAGGTGTTAGGGTAGGATGTATGTTAGTTAGGTGCTTTGGTGGTGTATAAAATCTTCTATTTTTCACCTTCTTTAATCTCTCCATCTAACCAACGGATCAAGCTCCTCTCAAGATGCTTGAAAGTCTGGATGTCCCAAAATCGGATCTTCAATGAAGGTTTGGGAATCAAATAACAAACAAACACGTCTCTTTAATAATTAAGTTAGAAAAATTAAAAAATATTTAAGAATAAACTGAGAAGATGTGTGGAAATAGTGGGGGAATTAATGACATATTTATAAAAAATGTAAATACATATAGGCGTCATACCTATTGATGCATCCTATTTGGCCTACAACACATGCACCAAGCTTATTGGGTGTGACGCCTACGTGCTTCTTTGAGTGCACGCCCCAGTGGGTGTCGCGCTTATGTACATTTTTAGTGTACGTACCAGTGGATGTGGCGCAACACCTATGTGTTTTTTTTAGTGCATGCACTATGTGGCACCTCCTCTTTATTGCAGAATTTTTTTATTTGAAAAATGAATATTTTTATATATTGTGAGAGGAAAGTTGGTTATTGCTAGGGATGGGAATACGGGAGACCGCCCTACATGGGCCTATAGCCTAGCCTATTTAAGGTCAGGCTAGGTCAGACCTATTTAAAATAAAAATCACGCTTAGGCTTTTTTAAAAGCCTATTTAACTAAATATGTCAGATTTAGGTTATTAGAAAAGCTTATGAAGCCTTATAGGTTGGCCTATATTTTCATATATATTAAAAATAGTTTAAATAGAATGATCTATATATGCATATATATTAGAAAAAAATGCTAAATATGATGTCCTACATATGCATATATATTAGAAAAATGCAAAATAGGTCGGCCTATATATGCATATATAGACCAACATATAACACTTCTTAAGTAATATGGATTAATTGAAAACCTTAATAAGAAACAGACTTTTAAAGACCAAGTCATACTTTTAAAAAAGTCAGCCAGACAAAAAAAAGGGAAATTTCTTATTACACCCCATGCATTTCTTTCCCACCGTGTGGTTTTCCACATATGCCCCGAGATTCTGGAGATATATCTCCGGACGTGCCCCATGGCTGACTAATTTTCCGGAGATATATCTCCGAAATAATTTAAACCTTAAATAGTCACAACATATCTCTCATAGCCCATTTATATTTGAATATTTTTGGAGATGCATCTACGGAAAATTTTCGGAGATACATCTCCAAAATGTATCAGAACATGATTTTTTTTAAAACGCATTGTGTATTTGTTTGCAGATGAATTATAAAATAACAGACAAACCAAAATAACATAACAATATAGTAATAGGATGTCACACGTCACGTAAATCCAAAATGTAGTAACAGTGTTAGGAAAAACGTACAAACTATAGTACTGAAACAAAATAAATACATGCAACTATTGGGTGTTCCTGACAACCTCTCCCTTGCCTTCTCTGTCTCCTTTGTCTGGTCTGCCTCCTCGGCCATTGATCCCCCTATCTTCGCGCGATGTCTGCGGTACAAAAGTGTCATTTGTGCCTCCGTAATAATGTCATCTAGTACTCGTCTGACAGCAGACCCCTCAGGGAAGATACCTTCGTCAATGTTTGCCCGTGCCATCTCCACTATGCGATGACAACGAGGCAAAATATCCTCAGCATGATCCAGTTGAGTCTGCTCCTCCTCTAAAATCTCCTGATGAGCGGGTCTCGGCGAATCTCCAAGAGTTGTCGACACTATGTACGGATGTGAGATCCTGAAGAACCACCTGATGTATTTGTTGATGTAGCTCAAGTCATTCGACGTTATGGTAGCCCGAGCCTCCTCTGGTACCAGATGACTCTGATAATCAGCAAACATCTCCTTTATCTATATACGAGTCAAGGAAGGAGGAGCATAGATAACAGGGTTTCTGGGGATAGTTTGGGTGTACCCGAACTGCCACATGACGCGCTCGGGCAGATGAGGAGCAGTGATACTTGATCCGCAGACCATCCATCCGGAGTATAGCGATATGTCGTCAAATGGTTGTGTTTGGCGGTGATCCACGTAGCAGTTGAAGCGGATGTCCTCGGCAGCCAAGCCATCAAGATAGACTCTGAAAGGCTCGGGCGCCTGATTCCCTCTCAGTGAGATAAAAGCACATGCACGGGGCATCTCCTAAATGTACTCATCCCAACACGACCAGCCAGCGATGTGCACGAAGTGCTAGAGGATCCAAGCCTGAAAATAAAAATAAAAAACATTCAGGGATTAAGAATCATCGCAAATATGAAATGAAAAAGATAAAAAAAAATATTCAAGGATAAAAATTTATTACCACTAGTAGTGTCGTGATGCATGTGTTCTACTTCGTCGTCCACCGACATCCATCTTTCAGCTTCAAATACAGATAATTTCTGCAAGGTATAATTAACCGTTCAACAGTTTACGCAAATTAATAGCACAAACAAGAAAATTATAAAATAAAATGAAAAAAAAATAGACTGAAAAAATTCTAGAGATACATCTCCGATAAAATTCAACGTTTTCATGTACTATGGGTAATTCTGGAGATATAAATACGGAAACAATCCGCAGATGTATCTCCGGAATCACCCAGAGTACATGAAACATTGAATTTTTCCGGAGATGTATCTCTGGAAGTTTCTGAAACTCAGAGGTCGCGACAATGATGTCATATGTCCCTCAGAATGAGAAATTTGAAGCTCTGATCGTCCATTTGAGCCAACAAATAATATATACACTTACTTTAAACTATGTTTTAGCTGATTTATAAATATTTCTATACCTAACAATACATTCTAACTCGTTTACAAGAATATCTGAATTATATGATTTGAAAGATGTTGAGTAATGTACTGGATGATGCTTGATGATTACTTGAGCCTCAGACAGATGAAATCAAATTTCGTGAAGTTGGAGATATTTGAGAATGAGAGAGATGAAAAGGTTTGTGAATGAAAATGAAAAAGTGAGGGAGGAGAAGAGTATAGCGCGATAATATGCTCCAAATTATTCTGGAGATATATTTCCGGGATATTTCAACGTACACCTAAGTTTTGGTGCGTCTGAAGATATATCTACAGAATATTTTAACGTTCAATTGAATTTTGATACTTTTAGAAATATATCTCTGAAATCAATGGGCATATAAGAAAACTCACATGGTGTGTAAGAAGTCTATAAGGTGCAAAAAGAAATCCTGAAAAAAAAATGTCTATAGTAAGTCATAGACCAGACTTTGTCCTCGTAAGTTTATAGTAGATTAGACATTCTAAAGTCTAACCTAGCCTATTTTTACATCTAATTATTATGATAAAAATTTATTCTAAAAATAAAAATTCAATTCAATGTAACCAAAAAAAAAAAAAAACTTTAAAATTCCGTTACTATCAATGAAATTTTGGACCATTTTCAAACTTGCATATAAAATAAAATACCAGTGGACATCACTTTACGAGAATACTTTTGAGTTCAGTTCAGAAACTAAACACGAAAGACACTCTCTTGAGAGAAACTATAATTGATGGAAGAAATTGAACACAAGTTCGTGAATGTGGGAGATCTCAAACTCCACGTAGCTCAAATTGGAACCGGTAAAACATAATCCAATCCAATCCAATTCAGTGATCTGTTTCAATTCTTTGTCGTCTTCTTAACCAAAGTCAAACACCTTTCTTTTCTCTCTTTCAGGTCCAAACGTCGTCGTATTCCTCCACGGCTTCCCTGAGATATGGTACTCCTGGCGCCACCAGATGATAGCCCTCGCCGCTGCCGGATTCAGAGCTATCGCTCCCGATTACAGAGGCTATGGCCTTTCCGATCCACCACCCGAACCTGAAAAGACCACCTTCTCTCATCTTCTCGACGACCTCCTAGCTATTCTCGACGCTCTTTCTCTTTCCAAGGTACACTCTTTTCTTTCTCTCGCATTTAGATGCATTGAATAATTGATCTATCCGGTTTATATAACAGCCGGGTACATGATTCACAAGTGAAATTGTTCTCTTGCAATTAATCCCTATCAGGCTATCGTATAGTTATAATGCTGCTGAATTGATTAGTCCTCTTTGTCAATGTACAAATTATAAAATAGGTGTTCATTGTTGGAAAAGATTTTGGAGCTCGTCCTGCATATTTGTTTTCCATTCTGCATCCGGAAAGGGTATTGGGAGTTATCACTTTGGGAGTTCCATATGTTCCACCACGACCGGCTGCTTATCATAAAGTCCTCCCGGAAGGTTTCTACATTTTGAGATGGGCGGTAAATCTAATTTCCTTTTACCTCTCAGCCATCATCGTCCCCGTTAATATCATTGTTATAATAACTTTCAAACAACTTTATTTCTGTCTATATGTATGTATGTACTTATCAGAAACCAGGAAGGGCGGAGGCTGATTTTGGACGCTTTGATGCAAAAACTGTTGTTCGAAATGTTTACATCCTTTTCTCAAAGAGTGAAATACCTATAGCTGTTGAAAACCAGGAGATCATGGATTTGGTTGCACCGGATACCCCTCTTCCGTCTTGGTTCACTGAGGAAGATCTTGCAACATACGGAGCTCTGTATGAAAAATCTGGATTCCAAACTGCATTGCAGGTTCCATACAGGTGCTGTAGTTTTCTTTGACTACCATTTTTTGTCAGCAAAGTGATGCTAATCTTTGTTATAAAGCGTGATCACTATTGTATTTGTTCTTGAATCGTGATTGCTTTGCTTGCATTTGCAGATCATTTGGTGAAGATTTTAACTTGCCGGATCCTGTAGTCAAAGTTCCAGCACTCCTGATAATGGGTGGAAAGGATTATGTTTTCAAGTTTCCAGGGATTGAGGATTTAACAAAGGGTGAAAAGGCCAAAGAGTTTGTTCCTAATCTGGAGGTAACGTTTATTCCAGAGGGAACCCATTTTGTTCAAGAACAATTTCCAGAACAGGTGAATCAGCTTATCCTTGCCTTCCTTGCCAAGCACACTTGATTTGTGGTGGAAGCTTAGTACTATTTTGTGATTTATGGTGAAATAAATGCCTAAGGTATTGGCAATAGCCATCTATAATGATGGAATTAACTTCATCTTAAATTGGATCACCCTTACATTTTGGACTTTGCTTGATAGAATGGAATAATATAATATACTTGTGATTCACTTGGATTATTAAGCTGTGATTTTTGCATAACGGAATTATTATTCTCATCCCTTACGAGAATTAGGAAACAAAGTATCAATTGAGAGTCCTATTTAGAATTATTAGGCTCATAACTAAGGCTTCTTTTTCAAATTATGAAAAGATATTAATCAACATAAAAAGTATCAACGTTGTTAAAGTTCTGTTGTTTTCGGATTTGAAATATTGGCACAAGGAAATTATCGGGACGAGTCGCGTACTAGGTCGCTCGCGTACTAGGTCGCTTTCTTTAAGACGTTTCGCCGTACTGCCAAAATATGCAAAGCAGTCGATTTACGACGACGCCTCCAGGATAAAACAGCCCGTTCAAAATTACGATTATCAGTTGCACACTGATACCATGTTAAGAAATGTGGTTGGGCCTAACTCAACCCTACAAAACCGGTTGGTAGAGTTATATTGTCCGATGTGAGACTCTTAACACACCCCCTCACGCTCAGGACTGGACAACTGAAGCGTGGAAATAATGGACAACTGAAGCTTGGAAATAAATGGTGGGTGGCCCGATAGCGGAAACCATAGAAGGTGGCCCTCACGCTCAGGACTGGACAACTGAAGCGTGGAAATAATGGACAACTGAAGCTTGGAAATAAATGGTGGGTGGCCCGATAGCGGAAACCATAGAAGGTGGTCCACCGGATCTTAAACGAGGCTCTGATACCATGTTAAGAAATGTGGTTGGGCCTAACTCAACCCTACAAAACCGGTTGGTAGAGTGATGAATGCTCCCACTTATAAACACATGTTCATGCTATATATTGTCCGATGTGGGACTCTCAACCCTACAAAACTGGTTGGTAGAGTGAGGATTGCTCCCACTTATAAACACATGTTCATGCTATATATTGTCCGATGTGGGAAAAAACCAAGAAAAGAAAATTGTTTAGATGAAGAGAATTAAGGGAGAGAGAGGAAAATCAAAATTCGTGTGAATTTGTGAAATCTGGAGTACTCACTACTGAATTTTTACCCTTTATTTATAGGTAGCTAGTGAGGCTGATATTTCCATTCCTCCAATGTGGGACTAAAATGAATCTTGTCAAATTCACTTTCCAATTCCCATTAATATAATTCCAACATCCAATGTGGGACTAACATGAATCTTTTCAAATTCACTTTCCAATTCCCATTAATATAATTCCAACATCCAATGTGGGACTAAAATGAATCTTTTCAAATTCACTTTTCAATTTCTATTACTATAATTATTATAGTTCCAACAATCCCCCACTTGAATTTAAAGGAAATTTTAGAAGTCCGTCAAACGTTTCTAAGATTGTGCATAAGCAAAGGTGTCTACGACTTGAACCTTAGCGTAGCGAGTAGGATTCTGATTCAACAAGAGTGACACTATTGTCTTGAACTCTATCTCGGACATCAGACCCGCACACAACCTTTTCGTAAGGTGTATTCTTGTAGCTCGTGCTTTAGTGGCCTTGCACGTGTATCCCGGTTTAGTGAATGCTCTAGAAATTCTGCCTCAAAATTCCATAGGAACCGGCCTCAGTTCCACAGTCACATAGGTGAATCTATCAAGAGTACTCATGTAGCCTAGGTACTCCCTCATACAGAGAATAGATATCATTAAGAGTTTCTATTATCTCATCCTGTCATTACTTCAGGATTCATGCTTTACTTGCATGATCATTTTCATATTACTCACAACTTGTTATTACCCATTGAACCTAAGTCTTGGGATCTCCAGTCATTTAGGTCGGGTTACCATCATGAGTAACTAATTGCTTCATAGGCATTAGTCCCATCTTTTTGGATGTATTATGGACTTTCTCTCTAGCTAATCCTTTCGTCAAAGAATCTGCTAAGTTCTCATCAGTGCGTACATGATCCACTCTCACAGCTCCTTTAGATATACAATCTCTAACAGTGCTATGTTTTCTTCTAATTTGACGTCTTTTACCATTATAGTAACGGTTCTCAACTTTTGCAATAGCCGCAGTACTATCGCAGTGGATCAAGACAGCTGGTATAGGTTTTTCCCATAAAGGGATCTCAGCTAGCAAGCATCTTAACCAACTTGCTTCTTCATTAGCTGTAGCTAATGCTATCATCTCAGACTCCATTGTGGACTGTGCCAGAATGGTCTGTTTCTTTGATTTCCAAGATACAGCTCCTCCGGCTATACTAAATATATAACCACTAGTAGCTTTGGAATCATCCGATAAGGTGTTCCAATCTGCATCACTATACCCTTCTAGTACAGCAGGAAATTTCTGATAGTGTAGGCCGAGGTCCATAGTCCTTTTAAGGTACCTCATTACTCGCTCAATAGCTTGCCAATGTTCGTTACTCGGCCTACTTGTAAATCTGCACAACAATCCTACGACATATGCAATGTCGGGTCTAGTACAATCAGTGGCATACCTAAGACTGCCAATGATGCTCGCATATTCTGCTTGTTTGACACTTTCTCCAGTGTTCTTAAACAGTTTCACACTTGGATCATACGGGGTGCATGCAGGTTTACAATCAAAGTATTTATATTTCTTTAAGATCTTCTTCACATAGTGAGATTGATCCAAAGAAATTCCTTGTTCGGATCTCGTGATCTTGATGCCCAGGATCACGCTTGCTTCTCCGAGGTCTTTCATATCAAAGTTATTGCATAACAATGATTTCATATCATTAATGGCCTGAACGTTTGATCCAAATATAAGTAGATCGTCTACATATAGACATATGATAGTACAAATGCGATTCTCAGATTTGTAATAAACACACTTATCACTTTCATTCACTTTGTACCCATTAATTATCATTAAGTTATCAAACTTTTCATGCCATTGTTTAGGGGCTTGTTTTAGTCCATACAAAGACTTATCTAACTTACAGACCTTGCTTTCTTGACCTTGGATTACAAACCCTTCTGGTTGTTCCATATAGATTTCTTTTTCTAAGTCACCGTTTAAAAAGGCTGTTTTAACATCCATTTGGTGTACTATTAAGTTATAAATAGCTGCTATTGAAATGAGTACCCTAATGGATGTAATTCTAGTGACCGGAGAAAAGGTGTCGAAGAAATCTATATTTTCTCTTTGTCTAAAACCCTTGGCTACAAGACGAGCCTTGTATTTCTCAATCGTTCCATCAGGTTTTAGTTTCTTTTTCAAAGCCCATTTACAACCAATTGGTTTGCAGCCCGGTGGTATGTCTACTAAGTGCCAGGTCTTGTTAGATTCTAGAGAATCTATCTCATCATTAATGGCTTCTTGCCATAAGTCTGCATCCATAGATGACAGTGCTTCTTGAAGATTTATTGGATCTTCTTCTACATTATAGGCCGCATAATCGGGCCCATATTCTTTAGCAACTCTTGCTCTTTTACTTCTTCGAAGTTCCGTTTCTACTTTGTCGCTGCTTTCAATGCTTTTTATCACAGGAATGTGACTCGATTGTGTGCCCCCACTATTTCTCGATTTGAAGGGAAATTTGTCTTCAAAGAATTCAACATCGTTTGATTCTATGATTACTCTGGCATTTAGGTCATAAAACCTGTATGCCTTACTGTTTGATGCATACCCAATGAATACGCATTCACGGGCTCTACTAGCGAGTTTAACTCGTTTCGGATCCGGAATTCTGACATAAGCCAGGCAGCCCCAAGTTCTCAAATAAGACAAATTTGGTTGTCTTTTCTTTAATATCTCATAAGGTGAGATCTTACTTTTCGACTTGGGAACTTTATTCAGGACATAGCAAACAGTCAATAAAATTTCCCCCCACCAGTGAGGTGTAGCACCAGAATTTAACATGATTGCAACTACAAGTTCAGTAAGAGTTCTATTCTTTCTTTCTGCTTTACCTTTCATTTCAGGAGAGTATGGAGCAGTCGTTTCATGTATAATACCATGTTCAGCATAAAAATCATTAAACAAGCTAGAGTCATATTCGGTTCCCCCATCACTGCGAAGTCTCTTAATCTTCTTGTTAAATTGATTCTCAATTTCAGTTACATACACCTTAAACATGTCAAGCGCTTCACTTTTATTCTTCATTAGATATACATAAGTATAATCAGAGCAATCGTCAATAAAAGTGATAAAATAACGTTTATTATTTCTAGTTAAACTTCCATCTAATTCACATATATCAGAGTGTATAAGATCTAGGGGATCAGATTCTTTTATTATTGATTTATGTGAAGTCTTTGTTATTTTAGCTTGACTGCAAAATTCACATTTATTGGAATCATTAATATTTAGTTTAGGGATTAGGCCTATGTTGCTTGCATTAGAAATGATTCGTTTATTAACGTGACAAAGTCTACCATGCCAAATATTAAAATCACACAAAAAGTAAACAGAAGGAGAAGTTTTATTCAAATCAACATTCAACTTAAACATGCCATCAGTGGTGTACCCTTTTCCCACAAAAATATCATTCTTAGTGATGGTGTACAAATCTGCCCCTAAAGTTTGACTGAACCCAACCTTATTCAGAAGAAAACCAGAAACAAGATTCTTCCTAATTTCAGGAACATGCATGACGTCCTTCAAGATCAAAGTCTTTCCTGAAGTGAACTTCAGTTCAACATCTCCAATTCCAGCAACATTAGTGGTGTGAGCATCTCCCAACAACACTTTCTTATCTTCAGTATTCATGTATGTCTTGAACATAGCATGATCATAGCAGACATGACGAGTGGCGCCAGTGTCTATCCACCAACTGTCACTTCCACCAACCATGTTGATTTCAGTGATCATGGCAATTAGTTGCTCATCAGTCAGGTTAACCTGTGTATTTGAGCCAGCTGCAGGTTTAGGCCTGCTCCTAC